CTACCAGTTTTAGCTACTTTCAATTGAAAGCAGTTGGCAACACTGAGCAACTTCCCCTGAAAATTAGTTGGCAACACTGTGCGAGACATGAGAGTTAGTAGATATCAGTGTTGTGTTTTGAATTTTTTTACACGAGAGAGCACTAAGTTTACTTGTCGAAGAGCAGCGGGCAAACAAACGATAAAGGACATGGGTGGGACGGGTGGGACATGTCCCCACCACTTTTTGCCAGGGTCGATATTGTCCCTACCACTTTTTGAAAGTAATTGAAAAATATATTGCGGAAGGTATGTATTAAAGGGAAAACAAGATCAACAAATCATTCTTCATAATCTAATTAGGGTGATAAAAAAACAACAACAACAACATTTGACTCCTTACACATGCATAACTCGTGCAGTGCAATAACGACGTGATTTGCAGCTGTTGCACTTTTCGTAATGTCATTAGGCTATAGTATTTTATTTTAAAAATGGAGAGCTTCCTTGTGCTAAGTAGGCCTGCCCTCTACTAAAGATTTTTCTAGTCAACTAGTCACGTTATATTAAATTTATACTTACTTATACCACTTACTGTGCCCCTGTTTTTGAGCATTTTCTGAAAAACGACATACCCAAATAAAAATGTCTGTAGCTCTTGAACCCTATGGTCTATATTTATAAATCTGGTATTGTTTGAAACTAGACACTTTAACCTTTGTTACTCTGGAGTCATAATAACACAAAATTAGTATAGCAACAGAGTAAAACAAGGTAAAATGTACATGAAAGTGACTCGCGATATCTTTGAATGAAATTCACTAATGGAAAAATGGATGAGGCTTTGATGCCAAATGCCTGAAAACACCATAATGATAATGCTGAATGCCCAACCATATTTTTATTCAAATTTTAAGATGATACTCCCAAAAATGTAGTTTCTGTAAGCTTTTATTTAAAAAAAAGTCTAGGCGTTTTTTCAAAAAAGCCGTTTGGAGACTCCAAATGGACACCTGGTAACCAAATGACAACATTTTTTAGGTAAAAACTTGCATAAAGTACATCTTTATGGTATGTTATTTAAAGAAATAAAGAAATCTTAGGAAAAGTCATTTAGATCTTTTAGTTCAAGAAAAGTCTAGGAATCCTGTCAAAAAGGCTATTTAGAGACTCCATATGGCACTGCATACTACATATACTACATAGATAGGCTATATGTATATCAATTCAGAACTCATCTACCCATGAAACCACACACAAACACAAAACTATACGACATTTGAACATTGTAACTAAACAGTATTTATTTTGAACAATTCTAATAATGAAAACAGTGAACCAAAACAGATTTGATCAGTGATCATTTTAGAGCTAATGAACAGACAAAACATGCAAAATAAAAAAAAAATGTCATTTGTAATTGTAATTTTTTTTCTCTGCTAATTATTATGAATATCCAGTTACTGAAAAACTAAAGCAACTATTTACAGTATTTACAGTGTACTAGGAAGACACTCAAGGCAGTCACTAAAAAGGTTTGTTCTCTGACCAACTGAATAGCAAAGTCACTGAAACACAGGAAAGGGAGAGAGAGC